AAATAACTGCTACATATACTGATACCCTGCTGCCCAGGGTGCACACAAACATGGCTCGTTGACGGGAAGTAGAGAATAACTGTGTTCCCCCCCCTTCAGTTTGTCACAGCCCCTGCTTGCTTCCCCCCCCAGGGAAAGCAGATATTTTTGCACCTATATTGAATGTTTCTCTTATTTTTTTTTTAAAAAACCCAGTGCTATTGTACTTACTCTTAGTAACTTACCAAGGTTACAGCAAGATAACCTACAATAGTTAAAGAAACAGGAAAATATAAGGGTCCTTGAAGGACAATTACTCACGCAAATAAACAGCATGTTCTTCATTTTAATTACTTCTTTGTCACATGCATGTAATCTTTTCTGCACTCAATTTCTTCTTTTTCATCTGTTATTATGCCATATAGTAAAATCACTCTGTGATTTGTATTTAAGATCAATGAAACTTGTTTTAGGGGGCTGGTGTCCTTCATGAAGCTAACCAGTATTGGATGAAGGAATAGTATTAACAGAACTTTTATCATATTGCAATGGGTTTGTTTAGATAATGCAGTGATTACTCAGCTAGGTATTCTTAGATGCCTCCTAATTATAAATTGTGATAAAAAAATAGGAATAGCTAGGTGCTTTTGTCAGGCAAAATTTTATTTTTGTTCCATAAAAAGTAGATTGTGATGTTAGTCATGAATTCAAAATAAATAACAGAACAGATTCCAGTAATATCAGTGAATTCAAAACTAAAAATTTGGCATTTAATCAAATTGTTAATAATTCCAGATGGTACAACCCTGTCTGAAGCATGTTCAGAACACAAGTTCACCAATTACAGTTCTTGTTCTGATTTAAATTTTTTTCACAGACAGAACATTTCATTTTCTGATCTCCATTTAGTGAACATGTCTAAATTTTGCACCAGCTGATACCCTCCTGAAGAAAGGCAGTATTTATATATTGATGTATTCTCCATATTGTTCTAATACGGTGTTTCACGGACATTTCAGTTTGAGAGATATAAAAGCTAGCTGACATGCAATTGTATTGATGTGGAAAGTTAATGAGGGACAAGTTACTGAAAGTTAATAAGAAGCTCAACACCTTGCTGGCTTCTCCAGTCCCTTTTCCCCCCACCTAACTGGGCTGAGAAGGTCCATGTGTAGCTGAGGTGCTTGCAGGCACCATGGTGGACCTTACCAAGCTTGAATTTCTACAAATTCATAAAGGGGCAATGACTGTAGAAAAATCCAGTCATGGGCTGTAACATCTGTTGAAGAGACTGTAAAATTTCCTTTGACCACAGCACACTGGGATAAAAATGCTACTTGTTTATTTCACAAATCAATCTCAAAGTTAATTTTACTAGCAGTTATTCTGAACTAGCAAATAAAAAGACTTAATTCCTGTCACATAAAAGTAATCCAAATTCAGAGAAAATATGGAGCTTCTCTTAGGTTTATGAGAGAAAATGTAAACATCTGTAAACCTTACAATGAAAATGAAATGAAAATTCTCTTGTATTTTTTCTTATGCTGTTTCTCACTGTATCAGTGAACCTTCCTATCACTGCTGCAGGAATCTTTAACACAAAGTTTCAACACAGATTGAAAAAGAAAGTTTGATTCTTAGACTTTGATTAGAAGTGATCATAACCATAATGCTCTGCTAGAAAACATAAGGAAGCACTTTATTGCACAAAAGTAAGCGTTCTTTCTCATGAGCATCAATTCAAAGTTTGCAGCATTAAAAAAAAAAAAACCATACACAAACAGTCCACACTGAGGTATGTCTTTATTAATTCAAGCATTAAATGCCTATCATTCAGTTTCCAGGTTCAAACCAGAGCTTTTGTTCCTGCAAGTGTCTTTTTTTTTTTTTTTTAAGTGAAAGATAAGCACACATACACACAAGAAGTGTGACTTCCAAACAGATTCATTCATAATATTGGCATATTATTTGCTCCACTGTATCTTGTTCCTTTTCAGAGAAAATAGTGCTTAGCAGAAGCTGTTCTTGCTCAAAACTCTGGTTTTTAGAGTCTTACATAGATCTAATCTCATCATTTTCTCCTATACTGTCCACAGAAGGCTATTTGAAGAGTGAGCACAGAGCAGTCAACAGCACATTAAAAACAGCAGCAACCTGTATATCTCACTGTCCTTGGATGATCAGTGGCATCCCATAGAGACCTTTATGCAAGATTGAAGTGGTAGTGCTTCAAAAGCGTTTTGAAGGATTAATGCAGAGAAATGTTCCCCTTCCCAGAAATACTTAAGCTGCATAGCTTTACTATTTTCTATTATACAGATGACGTATCTCATTTAAAGTAATATCAGTACTAATTAAGCAGAATTTGAACATTGATGACTATCTTTGAAGAAAACATAATAAGGATTATTCATTTCTAAGTTTGAGGAACCCCAAAAGATAAATGCAAAAATATTTTTTAATTGTTAAAGATGAATACTGCATTGCAGATGCTTTAGGGACTGGTATGGCATACTGTCCACAATTTGAAATGGTACAGTTCACAGCAGACTTCTTTGACAATGCAATATTGCTCAGATGTAAGATCTTGAAGCTTGTAACAATTTCCCCAGAGAGGCTTTCGGAGAAGCTACATGATATGCAACACTTGCTTTTTGTTAGAAAAACACATCCCATTGCTTGACACTTGAGATTTATATGACCAAAACTCTCTGGATATATTTTAGAGACACCATCACTGTAAAATAATGAGCTGTAAAAACAAACAAAACAAACAAAAAAAACCACAGGGGTCTATTGGTCATACTTAGCAATACAGAGAGACTAATGCATCCAAATGTTACATCAATATCCATGTAATTTGGGGAAAATCTACAGGTTGGATAAAGGCAGGAAGTAGAAAGAGGAACTTTTCTAAACAGGCAATCATGTTATGTTGCTTCCTTAAAGCTGTGTATATAGGATTCTTTGCAACCCTCAGTGCCATGTTTTTGACGTATTTTCTATTGATAATGCTATGATTTGTTGTTCTGTTGTATACATTGTGTTTTTGATTCTATGCTTTGTACTGTGAGCATAAGAAAGAGGAAAGGAATTTCTAGGTAAACATTGTGACAGATTTACTGTTTTTTTTATTACATTTACTGTTTTTTTATACAATTACTCCCATTTGTGAAATTTTTGCTTTGGCAGAAATACAATTGAGGATACCCTAATCTCAGTGCTAGCACTAAGGAAATGATCAGATAAGGGCAAGAAATTGAATAAGCACAGCTTGGAAAGTTCTTCTTAATATGGATATTACTATTATCATGCCAAAACCTGATACTTTGACCATATGCACTGTCCTAGTCTGTTGTAGCATGAAATTCAGCACATTTTTGTAGGCTGACTCTAAGAGGCATATTCCCTTTGACTATGCTACTGCATGGTTGGTGTAAGAGATTCCATAGTCTCAAAAATTCTTATTTGCTGTATTCATAAATCAGGACACCAAAACAATTTAGACAATGTCAGACACTTAAAATCGCGTAAGTAAAATGAAATGGGTCATCAGTCAAATTACTGGTTTCATGGAGACATACGTTGTACATAATATTTCAAAATCTTCAACTTCTTACCAGTTAGAAGTTCCCATCGCATCACATTAAAGACATTTTGGAAAGTTTTCTAAGGGGATACACTTTTCCACATTTAACAGGAACCTCATACTTCCAGAAACTCTGTGAGGCTTAACTATATGTTAAAAACAATATCTGGTTCACAGAGACAAAAGAAAAAAAAAGTCCCCTTACAGTCTCCCTCGTTTCTGTTGGAAAAAGGGTATAGAACAGCAAAACAGAAGAAAGTTTTTTTTTTCTTTTGTACAAAGGAAAACTGTATTATTCTAATTTATTGTAATTATTCAAGAAGGTGAAAGTAGATAAAAATGGATATACGTTCAATGCAGTAAATACTCAATAAATAAGAATCTCTATTTGTATTAGTTTTACCAGTATCCTGGCAAAAAAGACTCTCCAAAGATATTCCCTAATCATTCCTGACCTCAGAGAACAAGCTGTGATAGTACTTATTTCGTATGGAAAAATGTTTTTGCAGTAGTGGATCATCATCATTTGAGGCATTAGATATACTTGCTTCTGTGGTAAACTGTAACAACTATCTCAGTCAAACTCCAAGGTTAAAAATCTACAGTAGTTTGGCAATATTAAAACCAGATTGATTCAGGGAATTTATTGAAGATACAGGCAGTAACTTCTATTAAATGTTATGTTAAATAATCACATTAAACAATAATTAATTACTTTAAACAATAATGAGTGACAATGATTGCATAAATGAAAATATTCCCAATAAAATACTTTTTGATTAAATCTAAAATTCTCAATATGTATTATTTAAAATTATGAAGCTTTAAATAATTAGAATTCCACAAAGAACTTACATGCTAGCAATTTAATTCTAGCATATTTTTTCCCAATACACTAGAAAACCTTTCCTTCTGCCAACAATCCTGTCTCAGTTTTGTCACTGTAGGAATCACCACCTATCACATACTTTGCTTTATTATACTGCATTTTTATTTTACTCAACGCTGGTAAAATTGACCATGGTTCATCACATCTTCATTCATGTATGAATTACAAAATCTAGTTTACTTCATCCATGGTCTATTTCTCATTAGAAATAAATCCAATTTGTTTTTTCTGTTCTGCAAGTACAGCTGCAGAATTGGAGTACAACTCCAATTTCCAGTTTCCCCCACCACTGAAAATTGCTGAGGTCTATTTGCCTAATGTGGCTTACCTCATTTTAGTTAATAGCATTGAAGCATCCTAAAGCTAAAAGGATGAGATGAAATTGAGATCCAAAGTGGTTTTTGTACAGGAAAATATTAATTACAGTATTTCAAACTACCCTCATTTATTAAACCTAGGAATAAAACAGTTTAAGTCCCTATTTATTATACATTATGTGTGGTCTAGAATAGTAATGTCAAAGTAAGACAGCATTTTTCTTACCTGTTTTGTTATTTGGCGTGTAGTATAGCTTCTTCAGTGAAAGAAATGCAGGTATTGATGCTGCCTCAATCCATGCTAGGCTTTACAATACATACAGTACAACACATAACATGGCACATAGCACCTTGCTGCCTGAAAAATGCCATTTGAACAAGCACATGCCTCCTGTGTCTTCTGTACTGGTGACAAGCATTGGCAGTACACGTTGGTACAACATGGCTATTTACACCAGATTGGTAATTTTTCAGCAACCCAGGCTGAACTATCAATGCAGGCCACAAAGAACTTTGAACCCAGTTGCTGAAGATCTTGAAATCCTCCCCCCAAAAGAAAGTAATTACCCCAGGTGGGACTAATATAAGGTTAGCCCCATGTCCTGGCTAGTTAGCTTAACCATTAGCACTTGGTTAAAATTTCATTAAGGTTACACTGGGAGGGGGAGGAGATAAATCAAGACAAATCAATAACAATAAATGCAGCTGTTTCCCCTTATATCCATTGTGTGTTAAGTGATTCTGGCATCAAAACTAATTATTTTCAGAAAAAAAAATTAAATGTCAGAGATGTAGCCAATGTTACACTGTAATCTGTGAGAATATCATAACCTTGAGAATTTCTTGGACCTGGTTTATTTTGGTTCTGGGTTCTATACAGATATCTGGAAGGGCTTATCTCAACACACTGACTGTGCTAGCTTTTGGATGTATCTAATTATACACCTAAAGTAAAATGAGGATCATTGCCAATGCATAGTTACCAACACAATCACTGATGAAATAGAGGAAAACTCATGCTGTGGATGGTTTGGCTTGAAGCCCTGGATGTCTTATAAAAATTTAGATGTCATTAAGAAAAATCCATTGTTTTCAGAGTTATTATTTCCCTGCTGAGAAAACATTCTCCAGTCTGCAAAACCAGCATATTAGCTTAGCATGAAAAAACAATCTTATGGCATTTATTTCCACTAGGATGCTAGAAACTCTAATGAGAAATTGAATGTGAAAATATGTTTATTGATGGGAAGAGAACAGGCTTAGAGAACATAAACTTTTTCAGTTATCAGGGGTTTCATCTAGTTCCACAAACACATACTGTTTAATAAGCTACACTGGAGTAAGAGAGAACCTGTAGTGTCCCTTGCAGTCATCACTGGATTTATTTTATTTTATTTTATTTTATTTTATTTTATTTTATTTTATTTTTGTATTACACAAGGTTGAAATCTGAACTACATACATATGGAAGAAAATAAGAAAATATAACAACCTCATCTATCTGTGTCAAGTCTGCTTGCTCCTTTCCTGAGATACACTGGCTTACCCAGGCTAAACATCCATTGCTCCAATCCACTTTCCTTTGCAATTTTCCATACATGAAAACACGATAAAAAATTGACTCAGGGGCATGAATATCCTGCATTTAGCTCCATTTCTGGGCTGATGTGTGTTACACTTTAACCCTCCCTTGTGTTGGCCTTCAGACACAGCAGAGAAGGCTGCATGTACTGCATCTTTTAATTTTGCTGTGGTGGTATAACCATTTATTCTGAACAGCAAAGGAATCAGACTGTATTGTGCTGCTTACTTTATACGGCAAGTGGTTTGTTTTTAAGAAGGGGAGGAACAGTGGAAGTAGTTAAATGAACTAAATGCCTGAAAAATATTTTAGTCCAGCAGTGTTGAACCTGAACTCTTGTTTTCATTCACAGCACAGGAACACACAAAGGATAACCCTTCTCACATAGGCTGTACTGAGACTGCCTAAGGACGTGGTCTAATGCTCTCCTTAACTGCATTTACTTACAGTCCCAGCTAAGATGATAGGCAAAACCCGATCTCTGAGCACATAACACTCTTACCCTTTATTCTGAAGTATCTAGAACTTACTTTCAATCCTTAGTTTATCGTACAGGATCAAGAAGACATTTAAAAGTGTTCAGAGATTCCTTTTCTGTAGTCTACTGATCAGGTACCACATACTTACCTTGTACTGCGTACTAAAAAAATAGTCAAGATGTTTTCTTACATATGAAGCAATCTGGATGCAGAAAGCACATGTTTTTCAAGCAAAACCTTCCAGTATAAAAGGCAATTAGGCACCTCCATAAGATGCATGCCTGTCAGGCTGATTTGAAAATCTATACTTCAAACAGGAAATAATTTAGGATAATAATCATTTCAAATATGAAATGTAATCAAGGAGAGGGCAGCTAAGATGAATGCAATCTATTTATGGTGGAGGCAGGTGAGAGAGTTATATTATCTCCATAAATTCAGCTTTGCTCTTTTCTATGAGTTATTCAATCTTTCATAAAAGTTGCAACTGAATGTAGGAAGATATACCTATGGAAGTTCTGTTTTTGTGGGAGTTTTTTGATATTAAGTTATTGGGAGCATGTTTTCCTACCTGAATGCTAATACATTGATGAATTTAAAAATTTAAGATTTTGAACTTACCACTTGTGTAGTCTAACCAATGGGAATTTATGTCAAATTAAAATTAACTAGGGAAAGCAGAAAGGGTGTACATTTTTACAATAAAAATATTAACATCTCTTTAAATCCTGACAACATTTATTGCTATCATTCCTGTTATGATCAAGTACCAGTTTGCTGCTTTCCACATACTAGCCAAGAGTTACTACTCCCAAAACAATATCACAAAAGGATTCCTTGTTACTCAGTCTGTAATAAACCTATGCTTGCCTTCAATTCAAAGGTGTTTGTGGGTGGTTGTATATCTTTAAATAGCATCAGATTTGTGATTAAATTATGTAGATAATTATGCTACACAATAATAAACAGGAATTGTAACCTTGAAAGTAAAGCAATGGCTATTTTATTTAGACTTCACAAAACAGTGCATTATTTTGACAAAACCAATGCATAATATGGATTTAGAGTGTTTAACTTCAGGGAAGTTCCTGGTGTTCATAATTGGTTCAATCATTGCTTCTCTATAAAAAAAAAAAATAGAGAGTCTGAATATTGGTCATCTGAATTCTACACTGTTAAACAGAGATGGTAATAATTACCCCAATGGACTCATAATTATTTTCACCACACTTAGCAATCAACCTCCTTATTGCCTAATGGCATCTGTCAATATACTGAAAACTGCAGTTTGATGGAGAAAAGGAGAAGATGACTTGTGGGTCCACAAATAACAGAGATAAGGGGAAGAAAAGTAGTAGATTGGACATACAGATATTAGCTGTCCTTACTAACATACCACATGCACATGAGCCAGGGAAACAAAGGACACAAAGAACTAGTAAGTTACATTGATTTACTTTATTATCTGATAGCTCTGTCTATGTAAGCACTATTTTACATAGTGCTTAATCTAATACTTTTTTTTTTTTTTTAGCTAACAAAGAGAAATTAAATTATTGGTATTACAAAAGCAATTTGTTCTCTTAGCTACTTTTGATTACTTCTAACGCTTTCATCTAATTTATAATAGAAAATGTACAGAAATGTATTTCTAAATCAAAAGGGAAGGTCTACATCTAGACCAAAGAACAACTCCGCCGTTGCAGTGGACCCAAGTCATCAATATCCCATGCCATCTCTTCTAGTATTGTATGCTCGAAAATGAGGGAGGAATTTCCTTTTCCCAGAGGAAAGCAAAAAGCTTTGGAAGCTGCATTTTTATAAATCTCATACTGCTTTTTTTTTGGTTGCGATTGTTGTTTTTCCCACTCTAATTAAACAAATCTAAATTATAGTAATGGATATGGTCAAAATTAAATGAGACACGGTACACTAACCCAGGGTCTGAAGATCCAAAACCAGTGAATCATTACAGATTGAAAATTGTTCTTCAGAAGTTTTTATGATGGCAACATGATCAATGAGCAGGTATTTTAAGTACTACCTCTGCTGCTGGTCTTTCATTACAAGGTTATGCAGACATAGATATTACACTGAAAGAGCCAAAAAAAAACCCTCTTCTGTAAGTTTTTTTTAACGTGTGTTTGTTTGTTGTTTTTTTTTTTTTTTTTTATATATATATATAAATGTATGTTTAAGGATGTATAAAATCATATATTAATCTTTATTTTTCTGATTAAAGATTGAAAGTGTTGTTCCACCAACACTTCTTTACTGGTATGGCTCGCCTTTAAAGGCAGAACATACATTTTTCTACATCCTGTCAGCAGCTTGCTTATTACTAAATATTAAATAGTTGGAAGCTGACAAATAGTCCTGTGAATAGTCCCAGTAGGAATAGTAGCTATCAGCGAGGGAATTACAACATTCGATCACATCCCTGAAACTAAGCAGAGTAGAAAAACGTGTTTCATTTCTACATGCCAAACTTCTAAGCAAAGTTAGGTTTTAACTATCTGCTGAACAGAAGTAACAAAAGCTTATAAAGCTGAAGCTAACAAAACTATTTCCAAGAAAGACTGATGAAGTATTATGTAGGTATTCTATCTCATTTTGCCTCTTTTTTTATTTTTCTTGCCTTTTCTGTCTCAATTTTGATTCATTTTCCAGCACCACAGTATGTACAGACATGAAGTTTGGTATGGTTTGCAGAACTGGGCAGTAAACCAACACTTTTCCTTCCTTGTTTGTATGTTACATTTGTTACATTAAAAAAAAAAAAAAAAAAAAAAAAGGAAAATAAAATTTGAATTTTCAAAACCTTACAAATGTAAGTTCATTGCCATAGTGACTAGAGCTTGTTTCTCAAGCTTAGTCTTTCTACAATAACAAAGCTATCACCCACACATCTCTGAGCTTATTCTTCCTGGTATAAACATTTTAATACATAGTACCACAGAATAAGTACAGTACATATGGGTTTGTTTTTTTTTTTCTTTTTCTTTTTCTTTTTTTTTTTTTAAATAACAGAAAAGAGTGTGAACTGCACATGTGTTCAGAATAATTGTGGAAACATATGAAGACAGGAGTTTGCAAGGGATTTGTGTGGCTCTAGTTTTCATCTTATATTTTTAAAGATCATCTAAGGACTCAACTGAAAAAGTGAAGATATATCTTTTTTTTTTTTTTTTTTCTGAAGTCATATTCACCTTAGGCAATTTGCAAACTGATTTTCTAAAGCAACAAACATTGTTACAGATTCTAAGATGAATGTGATCTGAAGGTCATGCTCCCAAGCTTCTTTTCTATTTCTCCTTCAACGTTCCTTTGGTTATGCTGTTTTTTTTTTTTTGTTTTTTGTTTTTTTTTTTTTTTCCTTGAGTTAAAGCCCCCTTTAGGAAAAAGAGATGAAAAGTTATAGCACAGACATTCAGTATCCTTTTGCGAATCTCCCACCTGGTTCTCCACAGAATATTCCT